TGCCGTCTGGCTCTGCAATGATACAGATACACGTTCCTTCTCAATTTGGTCCAGCTCATTCATGAACTTAACCTTTTGGTGAGGATGGGGGGATTTAGAGAGAGGAGCACTTTGCACATAGATCAATAGTTTGCAAACAAAACACAAGTTCACAAAGGGGGTGGTGTGTGGAGTAAGAGAAACACAGCCAACAGAGCCTGGGAAGCGAGAGCCTGTCTATAGGTTATTCTGGTGATTGGAGGTGGGTAACTTTTGGGGGGATAAAGTAATTTTGGGGGGTGGCGAAATAGTATTATATTTCGGGAGAAAGAAAGGTATACTTTTTGGGGGAAAGAAAAGTCCAACCCATCCAAGAAAAATGAATTTCCACACCTCCCCCCACCCCTCAAAAAAAAAGTCCCCTTTAAAGGGGAACAGAGGACTGATTCGAGATCTCAGTTTGCCTCAGTAAAGCAGGTACCTGAACCAATCCAATGTGCTGCAACATTCCCATGGCTTCTTTCCTTGATTTTTGCACCAAAATCCCTTCAACAAACACACTCAGTAAAATACAGTGGACCTGTATAGCTTTCTTTGCTTCCAAACTAATACTGGACACAGATACACAAGGTACACAACCACAATGCTCTCTCGTTTGTGGAAGGAAAAGGAGGATTGAGGGGGTGGAAAGGGGTGTTGGAAGTCAACCAGTTCTTCATCAGCCTGACTATAAACAGAGACACTTGTGTGATGATTAGTGCTCTCATACTGTGCTATATGCACAGTATATAGCCTTCGAGAATACATTGCAAGCCCCCAACACCTCCCCAAAATAGTTATTATTTTATTGTTGCATTTAATTTTGGGGCCATAAATGTCATTTGTATTCGATTGCATTAAATTTATTAGGTTTATTATTTTAATTCGATTGAATTTATTAGTGCTCGTTTGTGTCGTCAGAAACTGAGAACAGTTCAAACCTCCATTTCATCAATTCATCACAATTCGTGAATTGTACAGAATTCAAACAGTTTTATTGCCACTAAATATATCCTTTTTATCTCTCTCTCTCTCTAACACATTCGCTCCATCTAATTTTACTGGAGTGAGTGCCCTAATCGATCTTGTTTGACCATATTGGGCAAAAGATGACACAGATTTATCCCCTTTCCCCCCAAAAAAAAATCTTTCTCAATTTCTGCTAACCAGATGCAAAGAGAACAAAATCCGAACTCGTGCGAAATTTAGTGCAAATAATAAATACTCTGTGCATTTGATATATTATAACGCGCCTTTCACATCTGGATTAAGTCTCAAAGCCCTTCACAGGAATGGTCAGATCTGCCTTAACAATCGACAAAATCCCATGGCAAAACATGTTTTTTTTTGGGGGGATGGGGGCGGTTGCAATTTATTTATTTTATTTACACACACACAAGCAAAAAAAGTTGTTTTTTGTAATCATATATATATATATATATATACATATATAGATGGATAGATAGATACACACACAGGGAGGGAGAAAATAAACAATTCCAGGAAGGGACTTGTTTTGGGGATGGATGAAAGTGGTCATTACAGAAAATATTGCTCAGGCTGTTGTGTTTTCTCGTTTCCAAAAATATATGTTGAGTAACAAACAGTAGCTGCTTATTCTTTCACCAGATCTGCTTTCCCACTTAACCCTCTTGGCGCACAGTACTGTGTTTCTCAGACACTGGGATATATATACTGTGTATATATATATTATATATATGTGCGTGTGTGTGGATGTGGTCAGAGAGCAGACAGGGGATCAGATCAGTACAGACATTTGGGAGCCCCCAACTGCTTTGCATTGCCCTTAATTCAAAACCAACCACAATTACAAGACGCCAACTCTACAGCTGAAACATGTAACCTCAATACTGCAGATCAACAGCCTGTAATACTGTAACTTTAATACTGTCATTTAATGTCCTCGCACACGCGTGCACACTCACACAGATACACGCTCACACACAGGTACACACTCACACAGATACACACTCACACACAGGTGCACACTCACACAGATACACACACACACAGGTGCACACTCACACAGGTGCACACACACACAGGTGCACACTCACACAGATACACACTCACACACAGGTACACACACACAGGTACACACTCACACAGGTACACACTCACACAGGTACAACTCACACACAGGTGCACACTCACACACAGGTGCACACTCACACATACACACTCACCCACAGGTACACACCCACCCATACACACTCACAGACAGGTACACATTCACACACACTCACACACCCATACACACTCACACGCACCGGGTACACACTCACACACACCGGGTACACACTCACACACCGGGTACACACTCACACACCGGGTACACACTCACACACCGGGTACACACTCACACACCCATACGCACTCACACACCCATGCACAGAATTACATGTGGAATGGGGAAAGCAGTTATATATACATTAAAAAAATCTGTGATTTTTTTTTAAAAAAATCAATGAAAGTAAACCAATGGAATATGAAAATGACCAAGAACAGGGCCAAAAAAAATAGATGGGTTAAACAGGTATATACACTCACACACACACACACACACACACACAGACACACACATACCACATAAAGAATAACATTGGTACGAGTATAATTTGTTAAAGGTTTAGATTGGGAGAGCAACTCTGAGTCTCTCTCTCTATCTCTCTCTCTCTCTCTCTCTCCACAGCCTCTCTCGTTGCATTAGCTCAACACAGCAGTTAGTTGGTCAGTCACTTAATACAGTGGAGAGAGACAGACACAGTTGAGACAGACACTGACATAGTAATATAGAATGAAGTGTGTTCTGTGTGCCCACCATCACACCTGGTCTCTTCACCTGGTTCGACATCAAGGGCACAAGCAGAGAGCCAGTCCAACAAGTCCCCCCAATGCTGTGTGTCCTTCCAAATACTTTTGTGCTTAAACATCCACGTTGTAAAGTCGAAACCAGCTTTACCCCCACACTCCCTACTCCCAAATTCTCTTCCAAGGTGCAAAATTGCAACCCTCACACGAATGGACCAGTTTCTGCACTGATACGTGATATACATTGGACCCTGTGAGTTGCATTTGGGTAACAGGGTTTTGCAGTGGAGTCTTTTTAAAGAGAGAGAGAGAGAGAGAGAGGTGGGAGGGGGGGAATGCAGAAGAAAATGAAATAACAACATGCAAGAGATTAATACACTTTTGCAACAGCCTCTGACAGACAGTCAGACAACACATAGTTTTAAGTCGTACCAAACCTAACTGAGCCCTTGTCCTTCAACATCTTAACTCGAGTGACCAATGGTTGGGACATAAGTCGTGCAAAACACTGCGAGACATCAACACGATTGATGGGAAATGAACCAGAAGTTTGGGTTTATGTGATGTGGTGTTATGTTGTGCAGAGCGGCGCTGTGAGTTACTGAAACATCCTTCACTGAGAGCTGCTCTGCTTCTGGCAACTCACTGAGCACTCAGCCCACCCCACCAGACCCCACCACAGCCCACCCCAGCCCAGCTCAGCCCACCCCAGCCCAGCTCAGCCCACCCCAGCCCAGCTCAGCCCACCCCACCCCAGCCCAGCTCAGCCCACCCCACCCCAGCTCAGCCCACCCCACCCCAGCCCAGCTCAGCCCACCCCAGCCCAGCTCAGCCCACCCCAGCCCAGCCCACCCCAGCCCACCCCAGCCCACCCCACCCCAGCTCAGCCCACCCCAGCCCAGACCCCACCAGACCCCACCCCAGCCCACCCCAGCTCATCCCAGCCCACCCCACCCCAGCTCACCCCACCCCAGCCCACCACAGCCCAGCCCAGCTCACCCCAGCTCAGCCCAGCCCAGCTCAGCTTACCTCAGCCCACCCCACCCCAGCCCAGCTCACCCCACCCCAGCCCAGCTCACCCCACCCCACCCCAGCTCAGCCCAGCCCACCCCAGCCCAGCCCACCCCAGCTCAGCCCAGCCCACCCCAGCCCAGCTCACCCCACCCCAGCTCAGCCCACCCCAGCCCAGCTCAGCTCACCGCAGCCCACCCCAGCTCACCCCAGCCCACCCCAGCCCAGCCCACCCCAGCTCAGCCCACCCCACCCCAGCTCACCCCAGCCCAGCCCACCCCAGCTCACCCCAGCCACCCCAGCCCAGCCCAGCCCACCCCAGCTCACCCCACCCCAGCCCACCCCACCCCACCCCAGCCCACCCCAGCTCACCCCACCCCAGCCCAGCTCAGCCCACCCCAGCCCACCCCAGCCCAGCTCACCCCAGCCCAGCTCACCCCAGCCCAGCCCACCCCAGCTCACCCCACCCCAGCCCAGCTCACCCCAGCCCAGCTCACCCCACCCCAGCTCACCCCAGCCCACCCCAGCCCAGCCCAGCTCACCCCACCCCAGCCCACCCCAGCTCAGCCCACCCCAGCCCACCCCAGCTCAGCCCAGCTCAGCCCACCCCAGCCCAGCTCACCCCAGCCCACCCCAGCCCAGCTCACCCCACCCCAGCCCAGCTCACCCCAGCCCAGCTCAGCTCAGCCCAGCTCAGCCCGCGGGTCTGTGTGTGTGTGTGACTGACTCTCTGTGTCTAAGTGTGTGTGTGTCTGTATGTCAGAGTGCGTGTGTGTGAGTGTCTGTGTCTGTGTGTTTAAGTGTGTGAGTGTCTGTCTGTGTGAGTGTGTGAGTCTGTGTGTCTGTCTGTGTGTGTCTGTGTGAGTGAGTGTCTGTGTGTGAGTGTCTGTGTGTGAGTGTGTGAGTCTGCGAGTGAGTGAGTGTGAGTCTGTGTGTGAGTGTCTGTGTGTGAGTGAGTGTCTGTGTGAGAGTGAGTGTGTGAGAGTCTGTGTGTGAGTGCGAATGTCTGTGAGTGAGTCTGTGCGAGTGAGTGAGTGAGTGAGTGAGTGACTCTGTGTGTGAGTGTGTGAGAGAGAGAGAGAGAGTGAGTGTGAGAGAGTGAGTGTGAGAGTGAGTGAGAGCGATGGTTTCCGATCTACCTGGAAGGTCCTGACCAGGGCTGAGAGCCGAGTGATGTGTAAGCTCAGGCAGCGGGACGTGCATCTGGCAATGGAGATGCTGTCGATGGGGAGAGCCTCCTCTGACCTGCGGGCAGCCCAGCCCACCCCCACACTAATCCACACCAGCACCAGCACCCGGGCAGTCAGGGGCATGGTCACAGGGACAGGTCCTCTCCCGTGTGGGGCTGGTTCGTCCTGGATGCAATCTGTGCTCTCTCCCTCTCTCTCTCTCTCTCTCCTTCTATCTCACTCACTCACTTCTTTCTCTCTCTCTCTCTCTCTCCTTCTATCTCACTCACTCACTTCTTTCTCTCTCTCTCTCTCCTCCCCCCACCCACCCCAGAGCTGGAGTCAAAACTGGTGCCACCACCTCCCAGAGGCGGTGCCAATGACTATTGGTTCATCTCTGTTTGATTGATAGCCAGGAGGCAGGGTCTATCTTACTAGATGCCCCTCCTCTTTCCCTCCCCCCCCCCCACCCACCCACCCTTTCCCCCCACTTTCCCTTAAACCCCCCCTTTCATTCCCCCACCCACCATCACGCACCCACCCACCCACCCTCCCACCCACCACGCACACAAACGCAGGTCCAAAAATCGAGGAACTTAAATAAATGCGAAACAGACTGCGACTCAGGGGATCGCTTACCGTCGACTCAGAGTAAAAAAGGCTTTTTGCCAACCTTTTCGATCTGCTGCACACTCAAACCGACGACCACACGCGGCTTCCGTGCCTGAGGGGTTGAATACGGTGCTTTGCAGGATCGAGCTTTACTGAAACGTTTAGAGACGTTGGAAGTCCTGTAGCGCATTGGTTAGAGCACTCGCCTCGCAAGTGAGAGGACCCGGGTTCGATTCTCAAGCTTCCTTACTCCGCACGCCTCTGTTTACCCAGCAGTAAGTAGGGACCCGGTTGTTAGTCGATTGGCGGATTGCTTTCTGGGGGTAATAATCCTTTAACAAAATACAAAAATAATAATTTGGTTACGCAATCCACGACTGTTTGTGGGACGCTGCTGTGCGCAATTGGCCGCCGCGTTTCACCCACAAAATGCACAGCAAATTTACTTTGAAGTGTATTCTGTGAAGCGCTTTGAGGTGTCTCAAAGTGATAAGGCGCTATATCAATTACAAGGATTATTATTATTAAAACTAAGGTTCCATCTGCCTGCTCAGGTAGACCTTAAAGATCCTTGCGTGGCAGTGTTTGATAAGAGAAGGGAGTTTCTCCAGGTGTCCGAGCCAACAATCCCCCAAATAAAATTGGTCATTCACTTCATGGCTATTTTTGTGGGGCATTGTTGTACGCAAGTTGACTGCCACAGTTGACCACAAAATACACAGTCGCTAAACTACACAATAAATCCTGTGAAGCTCTTTGAAATATTTCAACTGTGTGATAAGGCACATTGTCAAATGTGAGGATTATTAATTGTAATAAAATAAAGTTTAGAGGTCCAAATTAGGTTGTAGCGTGAAATGGAATTCAATAATTGAAAACCCAAATGATTAAAATCATTAAAGCTTTTGCGTAATGTTGCTTTGGATGTGTGTGTTTGAAAAACCCTGGGTTAGTAAAATTAGGCATTCAGCAACATAGATCGAGACGAAGCTGGTTTCATTCTCCCTTATGCCACTCAGAAAAGTAAAATATATCTTGTAGAAAATAAATCGAAATGTTCCATGCTCCTTTTGGTGTGTCAGCCTGACTTCTTTGGTAACATTCTTCTCTCTGTGTCAAAAGGTTGTGAGTTCAAGCCCTATGTCAGGACTTGAGTTTACGGTCTAAGCTGACATTCCCGTGCAGTGTTGGGGAATGCCCCATTGTCAGAGCGTGCTGTTTTTTTGAATGAGACATTGAACAGAGATATGATCTGTCCATTCATTAGGTCGATGTTAAAAAAATCCTCGCATTTGTTAAAGTGATCCATCGAGCACTTCACAAGATTTTACTGTAAAGTGTAGTAGTGACTGGTTTTTTTATGAAAATGTGGCAGCCAATTTGTACGCGGCAATGTCTTGCAAGAAGCGTTGAAGTGAATCAGCACGTTTATCTGGGAGAAGAATGTTGGCCAGAACACTGGGAGAAACTCACTTCTCTTTACAAATAGTGCCATGGCAAATAGGACCTGGGTTTAATCTCCCATCTGAAGGATGGCATCTCCGACAATGCAGCACATCTCCAGCACTAGACAATAAGTTCATATTCCTGATGTGGAGCTTGAACTGAAGACATACATTATCAAGTGCATCTCATGCTATCAGAAAGCATTCTATAAAAGCTTTACTTATGTCTGCAAAGTACACGCAGGCAGTAATGGTTTGCTTCCAATAGTTTACCACAAATGGCTATTGAGACTGGAATAATAGAATGATTCAAAAGGGAATTGGATAAGCCCTGAGTAATACAACCATTACGGGATATGGGGAGAGAGCTGGAAAATTAGATGAATTGAAACTGATAGCCATGTCACAGGTACAATGAACTGAATGACCTCCTTCTGTGTAGGATTTCTGTATTTCCATTTGTCCAGATTTGAGGCTTTCTGGACAGTCAGTGAATAATACAACCAATCTACAGCATCATGAAGCAAATAATAGCAATAACTAATTCAATTTGAGTTAAATCTAGTTTTTCTTTAAGCTACCAAACTCTTTAAATGATATTGCACCATTTGCTGGCCAACAGGGGGGCCAGATAGTATGCTCTAAAGTTCTGCGTATGCCAGCAATCCTACAGGTATAAAATAATCTTTCATCTCATGGTTGTCTGTATTAACTTGTTGTCCACAAAATGGCTGTTCCGCTTGCCCACCAGTCATTGTGCTCAACAATAACCAATCTACTGGCACAGTGGAAGCAGAAAATGTCATTTGTTTCAAGAACAAATTAGATAGATTTCTGCTAGAAAAATAATATCTCAGGATATAGTATAAAGTTTGGGACACGACATGTTAAGCGACTGTCAGGATAGTGGAAGGCGAACGAGATGGACCTTGGTCTTCGTTCACCTAGCAAATTATTATGTTCTTATGTTCTTATCTTAAATACGGTGCTTTAAAACTGCAAGCTCTTTCTTCATTCAACTGGATAAGTGCTCGCTATAATAATAATAATACTTGAATTTGATATAGCGTCTTATCTCAATAAGTGGAAGTTTCAAAGCTCTTACAGGATTTACTGTTAAGTTTAGTGACTGAATTTTGTAGCCAAATGCAGCAGCCAATTTGCACACAGCGATGCCCCACAAACAGCCATGAAATGAGTGATCAATTTCTCAGGGGAATTGTTGACAAGGACACCAGGAGAAAGTCCCTAGTCTCTCCAAGTAGCGCCATGGGATCTTTCACATCCACCTGAACAGGCAGATAGAACTTAACGTCTCATCTGAAGAACAGCATCTCAGGCAACGCAGTGCTGTACTGGAGTGTCAGCCTCGACCATGTGAGTTCAAAGTTCCAACATGTGGCTTGAATCCAGAAACTTTGTGACTCAGAGGTGGTAGTGCTACCAACTGAGCCAGGCTGACACCTAAAATACAGACTGTATCCAAGCGGGTGATTCATATCTGATCTGGATTCTCTTTACCTCAGGAGAACATTAGTGTCTTGCCCACGTTACCCAGAATCATGAACTCACTGTGTAGGGAATCACAGATCAAAACTAATTTCCTACTGTTACTTGGCAAGGCACATTAGACAAACAAGCTGTGCCCAAGGCTGTCTGATAAATTATAATTTTGAAACTCGCCATGAATACGAAGTCTATGCTGTGGGGTAATAGCTTGGTATCTGTAACACGGGACTACATTCTTGGTGTTCTAGTGACAAAATTCTGTGTATTCCATGGATAATAAACTATATTCCCGTCCTTTTTAATTTAAGAAAACGTTCCATGTGAAAGGAAAAATAACTGGAGGCATAAATGGTACAAAATGTTTTGATCAGTTTAATATAATAATTTGATAGAGCACTTTTCAAGTCAGGAGGGGCTCTCAAAGCACTTCATAGGATGTACTGTAAAGTAGAGTGACTGCGTAGTTGGAGGTGAATGTGGCAGCTAATTTGAGCACATCAACGAATGTCCCACAACCATGAAGTGAATGACCAATTTTAATTTGAGGCATTGCTTTGGGCTTTGCTTCTCATTCTGGTGCTTAATATTTAAGTAGGTAGAATTACCCAGAACTTTACTGCGAGATCCACTGAATGTCACAGCACAAAAACAAACCAGCCCATTATTTTTTCCAACCACCCCCTGTTAACTCTTTTGTAATGATCTTGGATTTGTGCCCTCTTAATACTGAGATATTCACTAGTAGAAATAATCTATTACTATTAATAATGACCCTTACTTTTGCTGCAGAACCTTATCGCGTCTTCAAAGCATCTCAAAGCTTCACGGGATTTACTGTGAGAGTAAATTGTCTATGTATTTTGTAGATGAATACAGAAGTTAATCTGTGCACAACAACATTCTCCAAATGGTTATGATGTGAATGACCAATTTAATATGGAAGGACTGTTGACCAGGACATCAGGAAAAACTCCTTTCTCTTTTGAACTGGTGACACAGGTTGGTTAATGGCCAACTGAATAGGAGACAGAACCTCACTGTAACATCTCATCCAAAGAATGGTGCTGCCAACAATTTGTTTTCCACAAATCAGATCTGGCCAACTTTTCTGCTGTGATTTTTCCCCCTCCTTTCTTTCCTGAAGGCATTTGACTGCATTACAGGTACCCAGCACTCTCCAACAGCCCACCTGAGTGGCTATTATTTCACGTCTCAGCCTTGAGTATGAATGTTGATGGAGGTTCTGCCAGTCGAGCTTGACCACTTCCTCACCTGACAACTCCACAGTAACATCTTTTAGCAGAAGTCTGGGTATAATGAACAGCAACCAAGACTGACATCCCCGTTATAACCCTGGTACACTGAGGCCATTTCTAATGGTCTTTGCTTCCCCGGCTGAGATCGGCTATCTCTTACCGGAACCTTCTGATCTCTGCAACTTTGTGCTGCCCCAAGCTATGTCTTTATAAGCAAGACGCGTATAGAGAAGAGAGCTTCTCCTAGTGTCCTGGCCAACAAATACCTAAATAAAATTGGTCGTTCACTTCATGGCTGTTTGGAAGACACTGCTGTGAAGTTCTTTGAGACATTTTGATGATATGATAAGGCACTATATCAAATGCAAGGAATATTATTATAATAAGTCATTCATAGAATTAGGTT